CCACATTCACTCCGCTCAGTGGAGAACACCAAGTCTAGCGTGTGACCACCCATGTGGGTGGGGCCATTAACATGTTGGGACATGTCCAAGGAAGCCATGGTTTCCAAGAACTCAAGAGCTGGTCCGGAAACCTCTGCCTCCGCGTGGATGTTGAAATTACCCAAGACCAGAAGCCCCGGGGACTCCAACAGTGCCGCGGAGACTCTGGTAAGGAAATGGATGGGTCATGGGGAGCGCGGTAACCCAGCAAGATCCCAATACCATCCTTTGCCCCAATGGACATGTGGTGGGCCTCCAGACCCAGCTTCACCACCGTAGAGCGCCTAGTAAACTCCAGCGTGTTTCTATAAGCAATTGCTATTCCCCCCGCCCCTGCAGTCTACCCTGTCTCAGGGATGTATTATTTGCAGATTTTTAATTCTTCTAAACTGTTTTTGATCTTGATATATATTTTAGTATAATTATATAGTGTTCCAAATTGCCGCCCAGAGTAGACCTTTGGTCTAGATGGGCGGGGTAGAAATTCAATAAAATAAAATAAATAAATAAACAAGTTTGTTAATTTTTAAAATAGTTTTAGTTGTTGTGAGCCACCTTGGGTTCCCTATAGGGAGAGAGGCCATAAACAAACAAAACAAACAAACAAACAAACAAATGCTGCAAAACAATAAGTACTGCATTTATTTGACAATGTATATGCCAATTGGTCTATTCTCAGTAAATGTGACCATGTTTCACTCTGATTATAACACTTACTCCCTATCTGAGGGTTTGCATTTAAGATGTCCCAGTTAGTAGTCATTTGTGTGCCATCAGGGAATGAGTACAACTGTGAGAACTAATAAGCAGACTGGATGCACAGATGGTAGGGTGGTATGTGTGTGAATGGCTCTAGGCCATACCAATGGAGTAGGGCCATTCCAACACTTAAATCTTCAGATATGCTGGCTTAGTTTCAAAACAGTCTCCCCAACAACAAGGAAATGTTTTCATTGTCTCTTCTTTCATTTAATGAACATCAGTTTTGCTCAGAATGGCTTGGAATTCACCACAATATTTTCGTTGGCTATTTAATACTCTATTGCCAAGTCTATGACAAACAGGAAATGTCCCTGTGGTTGAATGGCACATTCATTGTGTTTCCATTTCATGATATTGCACCAGTTCTCCTCCCTTGCTAAAGTGTAACAACTCAATCCTGTATGTACCGTATTTTTCCATCTATAAGATCCCCCAATGTATAAGACGCCCCCCCACTTAGATGCCCCCATATTTAAAAAATTGCTCGCTGCTTTCCCCACCACTTTCTAAGCTCCACGGAGCTTAGCAAAAGGAAGGGGAAAGTAGTGATTAAAGGGCTGCAGGATTACTTTGATCGCTGCTTTCCCCCTCCTTTTGCTAAGCCCAGTGGGGCTTAGGAAAGGGCTTAGGAAGTGGTGGGGCAAGCAGTGATCAAAGCAATCCTGCAGTCCTTTGATCCCTGCTTCCCTCTTCCTTTTGCTAACCCTGATAATACTGACATATGACAAAATGATCTGTCTCAGTGTAAAGCAGCTCCCTATGCCTACTCAGAAGCAAACCTTCCTGAACTCAGTGGATGTTACCTCAGTGTACTCAATGTGGTGTAGCAGATATAGTGATGGACTAGGAGATTTGGATTTGAATCCCAGCCTGGCCATGAAAAGTCATGGTGGGAGGGGAATAGAACTGGAAAATAGCTCCTTAAATAACTTAATTTGCCTTGAAACCCTGATTAGGTTTGGTATATGTGGGAAGTGACTTGAAGGCAATGTATTCACGAAGGCTGGTAAGACTTGAAGGCACATAAATGTACTGGCTAGTGTACAATAAGTTTTCATCTTTTCCAGGCAGTTACTGTAATCAGCATCACTATTACTGACATCTTAAATGAAAGATGTCATGACTTGAATGCCCTTTGCCTAAGTAAGACCTTGTAGAGCTTCTACTAGTTTGAATTACTGGCTGCCTGGATATTGAGGTATTGCAGCTCCTTACACATCCAATCTTTGTATCACATGACACTTTGTGCCATGTAATCAAAAGTTTGGAAAAATTTGCAGAAGAGGTGTATTTCAGTCAAGCAATGCCAAATTTTATCACAAAAGGAGTTTCATAACAAATTTAACCAGGAATATAACTGAAACCAACAGCCTGTCCACACTAGCATAGAGTTATGATATATGGCTCCCTGACAGCGCTGTTTGGCAGAGAGAAAAAAGACCTTGTCTGCTTGTATTTCAGTTTAAAACAATCCATCCTTCCCCTTTAAGAGCTGTTCCATTTTTTTTGGCACAAGACAAGGGCATGCAATCTTCTGGGGATGATTCACTGAGATGCAAAATAGCTCTTCATTCTATCTTTGCTGATAGGTACCAAGAGTTAAAATAGCTTGCACAGAAGGACCTTTTAAGCACTGGCTGGATTGTATCAAATTTCACAGTGTGGGCAGAAAAAAGAGATAGTGCAACAAAGGACAGATATGATCTCTCCAGAGTACAGTGGTGCCCCGCATAGCGACGATAATCCGTGCAGCAAAAATCGTCGCTATACGGATTTGTCGCTATGCGAAATTAAAAAGCCCATAGGAATGCATTGAAACCCCTTCAATGCGTTCCTATGGGTTTAAAACTTACCTTTTAAGCGAAAATGCTCCATACGACGGCCATTTTAGCTGCCCAGTAAGCAAGGAATTGTCCCTGTTTTACCCGGCGGCCATTTTGGAACCGCTGATCAGCTGGGGAAAAAACATTGCTATGCGAAAATCGGTAAGCGAAACAGCTTACCGATCATCGCAAAGTGATTTCCCCCACAGGAAACATTGTTATGCGATCGCAAAAACATCGTCACTATGTGGATTCGTCGTCAAACGGGGCGCCTCTGTACTAATTTCTGGCTCTGTGTTGGCTGCACTTACTCTGCGGCTATCCATAAACATCTTAAAAGAACCCACAAAGACAAAAATGTCAATGGATTAGACATTTAAGCAAAAATTCTGCTCAGATTTTTTTGTCTGGTCTGGAAAGCCAACAACATTTACTTGAAAGTAAGTACCAATGAATTCCAGCAGACATGCTTTCAAATAAGGCTATAGCCATATGAATAAAAACCATAAGCAGCCATGTTAGTAAAAATTTTAAAAGGCCAAAGTAGAAATAATTTTTTATGAGTGCAAGATAAAGAAAATAAAATCCCTTCAAATTATGCATGCTTTTCATTTCAGGTAATCTTTGTTAGCAAAATAAATCAAAATGGGAAAGGGAGAAAGATTCTTTTGGGCTTGTAAGTTTTGCTAGTTGTTCCGACATGCCCAGAAACATCCCACCTTGCTTTTTTGTTGCAAACGATTTGTCTTGATGACAAATTAGCACATGTATTTTGGTCTTCGTCTTAGAAACAGATACAAAAGTGACCTCAATATGGTCACAAAATGTTTTCTAAGGGGGTTGTGGGTCAAATACTTTCTTCCTTGACCTTTCGAAGCAGGATTCTAAAGTTAGTGTATATGTGTATGTATTAGAAACAGGCCCTTTAGGGGAGAAAGAAGCACTACTTTCTACTGAGGGATGACTTAGACTCATTTTTTTTTACAAAGAAAAACGGCCACATAAAGCTAGAATTGCTGCCATTTTCAAAAGAAAGGGATTTTGGCTATGAATCGTCACTTCTGGAGAGCATAAAGAAGGGGGGGGGAGGAAAAAAGATGGAGGAAAAATTCACACAACAAACCTCCAGGTGGAGGACAGAAAAACAAATGCCCTGCCTCTCCTGCAGAGGGTACAAGGAAACCTTCATGCTGGTTTCTGATAGGGATTCTCTGAACATGAAGGTTTTGTCTCCTCCCTATCACAATGTCCTACTGTCCTCTGGCCCATCTTTGAAGTCCTTTACCATCTCTTCCATCTTTAGTCCACCTCAGCCTGTTCCCTCCCCAGTTTCGAAGTGATGGTGGAGGAATCCACAGCAGGAGTCATAGGAGGGCAAGCAGTAGCAGCAATGATGCCAGCATGTTTATGCAAATATGGCGGTGGGTATGTCACAGGTTATTTGGCTATGATAAAAGGGGTCCATGACTCAGAAAAGGTTGGTAACCACTGCTTTACTAGAAAAACTGACACCTACTTACAGTACAGTACTTGGGAGTCAGCCCCAGAGTATTGGATGGTGTTAACAGTGCTTGTGCCATTAAAAAATTATTTAATCAGAAGTCCACTGGGAAGAAGCCAAGAGACTCAGAAAGGCAGCCATGAAGGAACTGGAAAAGATCCTCAAGTATTAGGATGTGTCACCCAAGGTGAAAATAATAAGGTATTCCTGATCTTACTGCAGGACAGTGAAGAAAGCTGACAAGGGGAAAAAAAACATACGCAATGTGGTAAATTAATACCATTTACTGCCAGAGGGGCAAATTAAGCGAGGGCTAAATCAAATCAAGCCTGAACTCTCCCTAGAAGCAAAAATGACTAAACTGAGGCTATTGAGCTCTGGTATATCATGACAAGTTGTTATGTGTCATCAAGTTGCATTCAATTTATGTCTGTTCTAATGGATTTTTTTTTACTAAACTCCCGGAGGCAGTGGAAGACAGGAGGGCCTGGCGTGCTCTGGTCCATGGGGTCATGAAGAGTCGGACACCACTTAACAACTAAACAACAACATATGGATGTTTTACGGTATGTGAGATTTTTAATGAATGATTGGACCAATATCACCCTGTTTGTTTCCATGGCCAAATAGCCAACTGGGCATTCGAAACCAGAACTCCTGAGCTGTAGTCCCACACTGGCTCCTGAGAAGACAAGGCAATCATGCTGTGAAAAACAAAAGGGAGAGGGAGATTAAATGAGAGAGTGCTTGGTAAAAAGCCCACCCCCTTGAGACTGGAAGAGCTGACGACTGGCCTTTTTCACAGGTCACTAATTCACAGGGTTGCCCTAAATCGGAAGCGACTGGCCAGCACGTATTTTATTTATTTATTGGGATACACGCTTTGCTTTATATCCCGCCCGTCTAGCGGCGAGCCACTACTCTGAGCGGGACGTGAGGACTTCGCGCAGCCCTCCCAAGCCGCAACAGCTGAGGAGCACTTTCTGAGGAGTAAACAGGCCCAGGCTCAGGGCAACACAAGATCGGGGCGTGTGGGTGGGCGTCATCAAAAGTACTGCTTTCGGAGCACAGAAGCCTCCACACGAAGTCTGCGCGGCGCCAAACACCACCTACTAAGCGCCACCTTCTCTGCCGGTGGAAAAGCCCGCCCCGTCGGTTTCCCGCTCAGGGGCCGACTGGGAAGCCCAGGCAGGCTATGCCCGGAAGCGGCTTCCCTTTTTCGGCCTGTTCGCTTCTGAAGTGTGGAAATGTAAAAAGGGCGAAAGCTTCCTAGTGCCTTGGCACCTTTTCCCCCCCCTCTCCTTAGGCGGAGAGGAGGAACCCCGAGTTTTCGCTGCTACGGAAACAGGCCATAACAAAGAAGCTGAGCGAAAAGGCGGGGAGTTTTCTCCGAGCCCGGCTTGCAGCGGGCGGGCGGGAGCGTTGCTTCCCATTGGCGCCCTCAGCGCAGACGCGGCCACGGGGGTGGAAGGCGGCAGAATTTGAACGGCTCTGGCGGCGCCCGGAGCCATCCGGCCGCTTTGCCCCTTTGGAGCTGAGCGTGGAGGAAAAAGCGAGAGCCATGCGCCCCGCTGCGCTCCGCCATCGCTCCGGGAACGAGCCCGCCGGGAAGATGGCGCAGCGGAACCCGCCGGAGGCCGGAGCGCCGTGGCAGGAGACGCGGGCGGCGCTGGGGCGGCTGGCGGAGAGCCTGAGCTGCTCCCGATGGTAACACTTTGGACCAAGTGTGGGATTGGGGGGGGGACGGGGACGGGACCTTGTGGGCACGCGCGTGTTTTGAACAGATGATCGATGATGGGCTGAAGCCCCCTTGAAGTCGTTTCCAGCGGCTTCCTCGGTTCCCCCTGGCACCCCGTCAGGGTCTAGGTCCGATTAGCCAAACGCTTTAAAACGGGGGCCGTTCTGCCGCGTGTAGCCTTGGACGTGTGAATCTGAAGGTGCAGGCGCCTATTAGGATGGTTGCCATAGCCGGGGACCGGTAAGAGAGTTGCAATAGAGCCAGCAGCTGGTACCAGCAAAGGAAGAGCCACGTCTTTTGCAAGGGTAATGGCCTTTGGTTGCTTAATTCAAGAGCAAACCTCCAGCAAACACTTCGCAGTACCTGTACAAAAAGGATCCCTTGCAGCAGTACTGTATATTGTTCCTGGGAAATGCCTGTGGATTTAAGCTAATCTTGGCAGGAACAGGGTGATGGGGTGTGACAGGCCAAAGTCCTTGGTGTTAGATTGTGACAGGTGTGACTTCATGTACCCAGTAGTGCTGCTGCAAGCTGGGATCAACTACTGAACCAGATGGATGAAGTGTAAGGCAGGCTTTCTGTGGTGCATCCTTTTGAGGAGAAAAATATTTTAAATAAATAAATAAAATAATAAATGTATTTGTGTACAATACCCACACTATATGTAAGTGCCCTGGGAGTGTGCAGCTTGTCTGAGGGCACGCAGACTAGATAGTCTCCTGGGAGACACAGTGAGGAATTGAACTTTCAATTTCAGGCCCTGCAGCCAGGCACTCCCAGCTCAATGAGTTATCCAGCCAAACTATGCCAGAATAATTTCTGTTTCTTCTTTTCAGCAGGTTCCTTTATGCTTCTGCAAGACAATGTCCCTCGATCCCTTTGGCTCTCGTCTCAAAAATCACATTCGCATGGCATTTTTCAGTTCAGTAGCCTATTGAAACAAAGCCATGGTGTACACAATTGAAATGATTCCCCGTTTTTTTTTCTCTGTCTCTAGGCCCTTCCTTTTTCTCTTGTGTTTCCTTGTGTCTGTTTAGACCCTTGAGGTTGGGACCTGTTCTTTGAAAATATATTTGTCATATACATATAGTATTATGTAGGTAAATAAATACACATTGAAAATCCAGTTAATTTGGTTCTTGCCTTGAACATATAATAAGCCTGCTAAGTACATGAAATTGCTGTATAATCTGAATGACTAATTGTCAATCTAGCCTTTTGTTGCTACTGCAGGTCTGGGCAAAATGTGGACCACCAGGTGCTATTGGCCTGCAGGTCCCATCAACCCTAGCCAGTATAGCCAGTGGTGAGGAATGCTGGTAATTGCAGTCCAATAATATCGGGAGGGTCACGGCCCTCTCTGGTCTACTGATTGGTAACTGTGCTTGGGTTTCTTAAAACAAAGGTATTGGCCAGTCCTGCTGGCTGAAATATTGTTAATGGGAGACACCAGAAATGGAACCTGGGATCTTTTGCATTCAAATAATGTGTTGTGATGTTGAGCTCTTTTAAAATAAAGACCCTCTTTAGAATAAAGGTTGTTTGGGTATTGTGGCTACATGGCAAAGTTTGGGAAGCTTCCCACATGATATATGTGCATGTATGATAATGTATTGGCTTTTTGTTTCTTATATGTAAGACAGGGTGCCACTGAAAAAGATAACTCCAAGTGCTGTTCTGAATATATTTGAGACACTAAGATGTTTTCTTGTTACGTTATGTAGCTGTAGTATGCAAACCAGCATACTACAGCTACAGAAACAGAGAGTGTGACTTCTGGATGTGTCATGCTCATAACAAAGCGGTTTTCAGTTTCCTTGTCCTTGAAAATCATACTAGAAACCAAGTGTGTGAATATTCTTTTAGTGTGTCTAAAGAACCAATCCCCTCCATAAATTTCTAAGGATGTTCTTAATGGTGTATAGTTTTGCTGCACCATTAAATGTAACACTAGGAAGGTTCTAAATGATGCCCAAGTGAGCTGGTAGTAGTAGAGCAGGTAGTTACTGCCTTCTGACTTGATTGAAGTAATCCAGGTTTGCTACCTTGATAGCCAAGAAGACAGCTGCCTGCTCTAAGGGATGTCTCTCTTTCTTAGGCAAATTCACTGTGAATGCAACTGTGTTTAGGCATGTAAAGGACTGTATGAAGGTTTGCAGGCAAACCCTGTTCTACCTGCAAACTATCCTATCACCACCAGCTGCATGTAAGAATACTAGCGCTAATCACTCACCTTGAGCATTATATGTTTAGTGGGAAATGACAACTGAGAATTAAAATTTCTCTTGATGACAGAAATACATGAAAAGATAATGGAAGTAATGTTTGCTATTGGCTTTGTGCCACAAATGTTTCTGATAATTCAGGCATACTTTTCCCTTCAATCATTTTTTCCTATCTATTTTTTCTTGACAGCAGTGACATTCTGAAGAAACCTGTGAACATAGGAGGCTGCGAACATGTCTTCTGCTTGTAAGTCTTTATATATTAAGCTGCCATGCAAAATGTCTTCCTTACCTTCCCCAACCTGATTGATGCACAAGATCCTTCCTTAAGCCCTTTCTGCTTCAAGGTTGTCACTTTATTATTTTCGTTTCCTGTGCATTTGCTTTCAACCTATAGGTCTTTAAATACTGTACTCTACTTCTATGCTTTCTTTCTTTCTTTCTTTTGTGTTTGATTATGAACCGTACAGTAAATAAAGCAAAATACCTTTCTGTATTTCTATACTAAAAAAAGGGAAAAAGGTGATCATGTTTATAATGATATCCTCATCTGTAATTTCCCTTAGCAGATTTTTAGTACAATGTGGGGCTCTGCTAGATGCAATATTGAGTTGTTTAAATTGTGTTTTTGATTGCTTTGATCATTTTAGTGGATACCTGCTAGCTAATGAATTACATGCACTTGTGGTTATTTATTGATTCAGGTTATTGTCAATCCAGAGCAATTAAAATATTTACATCAAGACATGCTCTAGTTTGAATCAACAGGCATCCTTTAATAAATCAAAATATGCTGGTCCAATAGCAGATATTATCAACTCTCTGGTTCGGTATATTCAGTCTCCTATATAGCACTATGACTTTTCTCTCTATCCCAGGTATTGAACCCGATTAAAAGGAAAGTATCGCTTTGGAAGTGCTCCAAGAAGCACCGTTAAGATGCATGTAAGGAACAGGCAGGAGAAGAGCTTTGAAACCTGCTTAACTAAAAAGTAGCAATTAAATGCTGTCTTTAAGACACCTGGCAACATTCATCAACATTCCTTGTTTGGAAAGGTTCCAAAGTGACTCCAGATGCTGCTCTTGCTTTTTGGCCTTATTGATAGAGAGAAGTGCCTCCGTTGCATCTTTAGAACCAGTGTGGTTTTATAATCCTCAGTGCTGGTTTTTGGGTAAGTTTTCCGGAGGGAGCTCTCATAAGCAGCTTGGAATACCTTGGCACTTTTTCCAAAGAAACCTAATTAATGGTTAAGAGTTCTTGATACCATGCACTCAGTAAGGTGTAGGGGCAGGGGATATTATTCGCCAGGATGGTGGAACTGCAGCCCTTCCTGACGAGAGTACTGAAACCCAGGTATGCTTTGTAGTCTTTTAACGCTGCCATGCTACCCTGAATAGGTGTGCCCTCATGTGGTGGCAGGGGTGAAGCAACATTGGGCTTTGTCAGTACTTGAACTGGAGAACGCCAGGGACTACCAGGAATCTCTAGATAAAGCTAAGAAAAGAATCTTGCCTGAAATCCTGGAGAATGTTTGCTAGTTAAGAGTTGCTGAACTAGGTGGGCTAAGGGTTTGAACTGGTGCAATACTTCTGTATTTTTGCGGTATGATGTCCCATTACACCACCACTATTGGAAGACACTAGGCCTTTAAAGCCGGGGTCCCCAAACCCCAACCCGGTACTGGGCAGTGGAGACTGATCTCCTGCCCCCCCATGCACGTATGGCCCCCCCACATATGCACACTGATGCACATACGTCCTGCCCACACATGGACACATGCATAGCCCTCCCACATGCACACACGGATGTCCCTCCTACCCATGCCCGGATGGATGCCCCATCCATGCATGGATGGATGGATGCCCGCACGCATGCATGGGTGCCCCCTGCACGCATGCTAAACCAGTGCGCAGTGGGAAAAGGTTGGGGACCACTGCTTTAACGCACATAAAAACTTGTATGAAGAGGCACAACTATCTTAAGGCAAATATATCATTGATTCACCTAACATGGTACTGTTTACTTCTGGCTTTTGAAGGCCTCCAACTAAATTCTTTGTCATGCAACACAAGATTCTCTTTAACAGGTGTATCTTGGGGCTGAATCTGGGGCGAAACAGGTTATCTGCTACAGAGATCTGGTCTCTCTCTGTAATTCATTTATAATTGTTTTGTCCTGTTTTTGGAAATTGTTACTAAGTATTCCCTATTGTATCTGAGGCTAGCCTTGACTAGGGATGGGAGACATCTTTGTTTGATTTGCTTTTCTTAGTTGACTGTGTGGATTAGAACACCGCTTTCCTTCAGGTTGTGTACAGCTCCAAATTGTGTGATGTAGTTTTCAGTGTAGAAGTGGTATACAAAAATATCTGAGGCTAGCCTTGACTAGGGATGGGAGACATCTTTGTTTGATTTGCTTTTCTTAGTTGACTGTGTGGATTAGAACACGGCTTTCCCTCAGGTTGTGTACAACTCCAGAATGTGTGATGTACTGTAGTTTTCAGTGTAGAAGTGGTATACAAAAATATTAGAGAAAACTCCTGTGTACAAAAGTACATGTGATGTTTTGTGCCTCTTTTTTTTTTTTTGAAAACTGCAGAATATTACAGAAATTGAACAGAATGAGGCATAGGATTGAGTTCATGTGAAAGTGACACAGAAATAGACTTGAGTTTTTCTTTTCTTTGGTTTTTAGACAGTTAAATTAGTGTTCTTTTGGTTACTTCCTAACAGTCATTCCTGCAAACCTGATTTCTGTTTTAGGGTCTATAGCTGGCTTGTAGTTGTGATTTTGAAAGTGAGTTGTTGGTTCTGGGGCAGAACCTGCCTCTTGTAAGATGTTGTTGTGGTGCTCATATAACCACGTGGTGTTCTACCTTTGTGTTCCACCTCACAAACTTTGGAATGGGTTTTCCCCCCTCAGATTGTCACCAGCTCATCCACATAACCCGTGTTCTCCTTTGCACTGCTGCTTTAGCACAAGCACTGCTCAGGGTTGACTTCACCCTGCTCTTTTCAAAGGTGAGAACGTTTTTTGGTGAAACACATTCACGCATTACCAGTACTATATGTCCTGAAGCTCCCAGTGATTTCCTAGGGCAAAAGGATGTGCAGCTGTCCAGGTGTTATAGGGCTGCAAGTCTTGTTATTCTTCACTATGGGCTATGCTGGCTAAGGCTAATAGCTATTGTAGACCACCCATATCTGAAGGGCCACACTTTGCCCCCCCCTTGATCTTGATGATGTTTTGGATAATTTTATGATGTTTGTTACATTGTTATGTTTTTACCATGTGTGTAAGCCGGCCTGAGTAGACTTTGTCTAGGGAGGGCGGGGTAAAAATCAATTAAAAGTTAAAAAAGTGAAGTATCTTTATTGACTTCCAGGGATTTAGACAGTGGCCTTTTCCGCCCTTCCCATCCCCCCCACTCTGCCTTGCCAAGACAATTGAATCGGGGACTTTCTCCATACAGATTGTGTGCTCCACCAGGAGAGCAAGGAATTCTCCCTTTTCTGTGAGAGAGTGTGCTGTAAATGGTGAAGTGTTACTTTCTCAAAGAAATTCTTGTGCTTGAGGAATGGAAGGGCGCAATCAAACAATGAGAACACAACAGAGGAATAAAACTGAGACAGACCCCAGGAACTGAGCAAATAGGGAGAGCAACCAGGTGTTTGATGCGAGAGAAGTGGTAAGAAAGAGTCTAGTGGAGGAAGAAGCAAAACAAAAGGAGACAAAGAGAGAGAGTTACATATTCGTGGAAACCCCTTCTCCCCACATCCTTCAAGGCTGAGAAGACAAAGCAGAGGGTATTCATAGACAAACAGAAGGAAGTAAAAAGGTCACATGGAGCATGTATTTTTATTGTATTTTAAATGTTGTAAGCCGCCCAGAGACCTTTGGGTAGTGTGGGCGGCATATAAATTAAATTTTAAAAAAAGAGAGACACTTCCCTGGTGGTGACATGCAAAGTCTACAAAATGTTTATCTTCATGCCTCAGAACAACATAGTGTGCACATGTGGCAAGTGCAAACTGGTTACACTTTTGGAGGACAAAGTGAAAACTAGAGGAGTGAGTAGCCACGCTTGAGGCTATAAGAGAAGATGACCAACCAGTACATAGAACTCTCAAGCAGCAGGAGCTGAGAAGGGAGGCACTTTAGGTGGAAGAAACAGCAAGACTAGGCAGAGGAGGCGATTGCTAAGGAGAGAGGAAATGTAGTGGAGGAAGCACCATGGAAAAGAGTCACAGTAGGAAAAAAACGAAGAGATGATGCTCTTCAGCAGTGGAACTGCAAACCTGTTTTCAGATTCTTGAAGAGATATCTGCCAGGCAGCATGAGAGAGAGCCCATGAGACATGAGAGAAGCTGAAGCTAAGCCAAGCAAAGTCACTGAACCCACACGCTACAAAAAGAAAAAGAGGAAAGCTGCACACTCCCAGGGCACTTTTCCTTTCTGTTAGCTTCTTGCTGTTTAATGTGCAGAATTCTCTGATTGAAGAAAAACACACACACTCTTCTTCTACAAAAAGACACTTGTATTAACCAAATATATACAAATATATACAAATATACAAAGCAGCAGACCTTCGGCGTGGCAGCAAAAATAGAGGCAAAGTACATAGAGGATAGAAAGAAGGAGGTACATTCATGTTCACAATGTTTCCTTATATACAGTTGAACTGATGCTTCTGTCCAATCACTTCAAGGGTTGCATCATCTTCCTTTACATGGGTGTTGCATCATCCCCAGATGTTGCATCATCTTCTTCTTAGTCACTGTGACTCAGCAGTTTACACAGGTGCTCATTATGGCAGTTCATCATTAGACAGTCTGGACCTGTTCAGGCCTATAAAATTTACAATACTTTGACACTTTCCTCTCATCCATGTTGGAACAAATGACCCAGCCAACAGGAACCATGAAAAAATCCCATCAGACTTTGAAACTCTGGAAAGGAAACTCAAGGATTCTGTAGTCCACATAGTCTTTTTCATTCTACCCATACTCAGGAACAGGGAAGGAAAAGAAAATATTCTAGGTGAAAAACTGGCTACAAAGGTGGTGCTGATGTGTGAAATTCGGATTTTGGGACCATGGGCCTCATTTATCGCCTCCTGAAAGATGGACTATAGTGGTGCCTTGCTTAATGATTGCTTCATTTAACGATTGCTTCATTTAACAATGTATTTGCTTAGATTTTGGGACCATGGGCCTTATTTATCACCTTCTGAAAGATGGACTACAGTGGTGCCTCCTTAACGATTGCTTCATTTAACGATGTATTCGCTTAGTGATGAGGTTTTAGGAGCAATCTTGCGCTCCGTTTAGCGATGTTTCCAATGGGGGAATTTCGCATAGTGATGTTCGGGACCATGTTCGGTCCCCCTGTTTCGCTTAGTGATGTTCATTTTCGCTATTTTTAAAGCGTCTTAAAATGTTCAAAAACTGTTTAAAATGCTTGGAATCGTTAGTGCACCCTGTAAAACCTTTGCAAACTTAATTTGGCTTTGTTCGGAGTCTTCATTAATTTTTGGTGAATTTTTCCCCCATTGGAGTGCATTGACAGCTGTCAAACTTACAGTTCAATGCATTTCAATGGGGGGAGAAAAAATTCACCGAAAATTAACGAAGACTCAGAACAAAGCCACATTAAGTTTGCAAAGGTTTTATAGGGTGCACTAACGATTCCAAGCATTTTAAACAGTTTTTGAACATTTTAAGAC